AGAGAAGAGAAGTCAGCAGCCTCCCTCTGTTGAAGGAAACTTGGGAAGTTGTGGGTTCCTGGCATTCAGGGTGGGGAGCAGCTCTGAAGTGGAAGCTCTCCTCATGGTGCGTGCCCTCACCAGGCTTCCCACTGCGGAAGTAGGACAAGGAGGGAAAGAAGCCCTCAAGTTCTCCTGGCGTAACCTAGGGGATTTTAAAAATGAAGAGCATGTTTAAGTAGAACCAGGGCACCGGTGTTTTTTACAGTCCCCAGGCAATCCTGTCCGTGAAAGTCCAGATGAGCGCATCACCTCTCCCCCGCGGGCTGCTCCGAGCACTTGTGCTTGGAGCACTTGTTCTGCACGGTGCTTCCTTCCCTTCTCCGGCCTGGACCCTCAGGCACTGGAGCTACCATTTCCGATTCTTAGTCCCTGATGTACTTTCCATTTTGTTTTGACTTCATTATTATTCCAAATTTCACTTTTATTTGATTTTTTAAAAAATACATTTCCTAATGCAAGCAGCTCACTACTGATATGCTTCTTTATCTTTGACGAACATTATCTTTGACAAAGAAAAGCTGCTTGTGGGAATTGCTTTCAGATCTATTAGCTGGTCCCATTTCCTGCCTCTTTAGGTGAATTCTGAAATCAGCTGCGGGAGGGGAAGGTTCTTAAGCATCCCTGCAGAAGTGGCTCCATGCTTCCTTGTGAGGAACACCAGGAGACAAAAGCACAGCTACTGGGGGGTATTTATAGAACTGCAGTCACTGGTTGGCCTAGCAGAAGTCAGAGCAGGAGAGGCCTGCTTTCCCGGCAGCCTTCTTTTGAGGCTGCTTTTCCAAGCAGGGGAGCACCCAGCCTGGCCTTACATCCTCCATTGGACACCTGAGGATGTCCTGTGAGTAATGTCTCAGATAGCTCCAGGGGTTCTCCCTCAGGACTCCAAAAGCAAGGGAACTGTTAGCAGAGGCAAAACTGAATAAATGTCTTAAGCATCTGAAGGCACAGCCTCGTTGTTAGCTGGGGTCAGGACACGGTCCTTGAGGAGCAGCAACATGAGACAGTGGATGCAGGAGTCTGGAAGCAGTTGTTGTCCATCCCTCCTAAAAATAGATAATTAAATGAGTAACTGAAGAAAAGGGAACAGATCCCAGATTAGCATAGCAGCTGCTGCATAGCGAGAATGGAGGGAGCCTGGGGCCGCGCCCTCCAGTGGTGGGTCCTGGGGAGGGAGGAGGCTATGCTGACCCTTACTAGCACGACTTCTTCCTTCTGGTTTCTGGTAGCCCTGGGGTTATCACGCTCCCTGTTTATGTCTTCTTACACAGAATACGGTGCTCCTGAAGATGGGGAACTCAAAACACAACAGCCGTTTGTGCTCAAAAACCAGCTTCTAAGTAAGAACCCCATGCTCAAAGACCACTTATTCGCATTTGCGACCTTAGGTGCTGAAGCAGGTTGTGAAGAACTCGTAGGGATTGTTGCTTTCTCTTAAGTGAGTACGTGAAGTACTTGGATTTGGAATGAAATAATGAATTATCATTTAATTCTCATACTGAACATTTTAGTGATTCCTATGGTTTCAACTCACTCGAGTGTGTTATGAATGGAGAACATGTGAAAAGTGAGCTGACTTGTGATTTGTAAATTTGTGACTTTTCTTACACCAGGACACCCAGCTGAATTGTCAGGAGAGGAGCAGGAGGGGAGAAGGGAAGGCGGGAAGGCACTAGGATGTTGGTCCAGCCCTTTTGTTGTTGTTAATTCCATAGAGAATTAATAGAAGGAATCTTCAACATCAGTAAGACCTGTTCCTTTATTAGGATCCGAGCCAGGCACTGACCAGCTGGATCATTTGGCAGCAGTGGTTAACGTGTGTGTGGAACATAAATCCTTATTACAGTAGTTCTCAGGCTTTTTCCTTTCTTCCTTCAAGCACTGAAGATAAAATATCCTAATCAAGTGGATCAGAAAGTCCTAGAGAAACAACTGCCAGGTAAGGGAAGTAGGCCTTTTGCCTCCTGACACTTAGGAATCGCTGGTCTAGAGACGAGTTGGCAGGAAGGAAAATAATCTAGAGTGTGGACTTCTAGAGCTTATAGGTTTTCACTAATCATTTATGGTCTAAAATGTAATCCATCATCATTCCCCACCAAAAGCTCAAGTCTCCCATAACCATATCAGCTTATCTAGTTAAAACTGGAAGCCCTTGCAAATGATATCTTTTAGGCAAGGCGTGAGCGCTGGAGTGTCATGGCTTTGCCTGAGCCACTGCTGTTTAGTTTCCAAATTGTGGCTCTGGTATAGAGAGACGGTGTCACTGGGCTTGAGGTGTCTTACTGTCCCTTCATAAGACAAAAAATGTGTCCTGGTGAGTTGAAGGGTGAGTATTATGGACATTTGTGACTTCTCATACACTCTACTCCTTACCAGTCAGGAGTCCCTGCAGAAAGTTTTCGGACATGGTCTTTTGACGGACACACTGAAACGGTTTTCTTTGGAAAAAGGCCTTCAGAACTCTGTCTTACTGGAGCTGAATTAGTTTCGTTCCACAAATACTTTAGTGTCAACAAAACTAGATTGATCTAACGTACCTTGCACTTAGCAAAAATTACAGTCTCCCTTTTGAGGGTACTGTGAATTGTTCAGATTAAGCTTGATTCCTGGGTAGAGAGTAATAAGGACAGCTTGCATGTGGAGCAGCTAGGATCTGGAGACGAAACCTGAATCCCCTCAGTGACTCTTGTAAAATGCTTTCCTCTGCTTGTCAGTGCAGTAAATCACATTTTAAAATTTCTACCTTGTAGCACTTGTAATGGCAAATGTAACACAACTGAAATGTTGACTAGAGGGGAAAGAAAGGGTCAGATAAACCCTGGCAGGACCACGCACTGCAGTGTCTGCGGGATCAGGTATCGGAGCGAGAATGGAGGGAGCCTGGGGCCGCGCCCTCCAGTACGGCTGCCACTGGCCACAGGTGGTAACTTCTGTTTACCTTCATTAAGTGGAAATCACACTAGTCCGTTCCCGAGTCCCTGCGACTCGCACCACAGGCGGCTCTGTTGGCCCACGCGGCTCTGGAGGAGCCACATGAGCTGTGGCACCGCCTGTACGTATGAGAAACAGCAGTACATCAATACATTCTGAAACCTATGCGTCCTTATGGAAACGGAGAAAAGCCTAGAAGTGGATGACCCCACTAGACTTCTAGTGCTGGTCACAGGGAGGCACACGGGCGACCAACTGTATGTTTTCTGAGTGTTAAAACAATCGTGTGTTACTTGTACATTAGAAATGGTAATGTCATTTAGAATGTTACGTGCAAACTGCCACTTTTTTTCTGTGGACACAGTGTAAGTAGGCAGATTTCTTACCGTTACATGAACGAACTTTTGGTTTCTGACATGACTTGGGAAACGCGTCCTTTCCTGTTGCTTTGTAGGCGTTAACCCACCATTAAGCACCCTCTGGACAGTGAAAGGCAGACCACCTAAATCTTTTTAATAGGACAAGATTACCTAAACATATTCACACATAAAAGAACAAGTTATGTTAATTAAAATGATGCCAATTGTTTATATTTAACACATAAACAAGGCCAGTTTTTATTCTAAAATAAAGATAACATTTATTATCACAAGTTGCATAAAAACACAGACAGGTTTTACAAAAATCGTTTTTGATAGAAAAATATTTGAATACATGTGATTTGTAGGAACACCATACTATTGCTGTACCTCCAGCTAAAGCTTCAAAGAAACTCTATTTCTCACCTTCAGAATATCCAGTATTTACCACAACCCATCTTTGGAAAGAAGTTCATAGCATTTTGTGAACAAACCAAAGCATTTGCTCCTGAAGCAGTTGCGTGCACATGTGGAGCACAGTTACGCATTATAATCTTCACAGACTAGGCGTGCTCGCAAGGAGCCTGTGGGCCACACTCAGTGCGCAGAGGGAGGGAGAGAGGTGCCCTCTGGATGCCGGAGCCCCCATTTTCTCAGCCATCGTGAGTGATCACAGAAGTTTAGAAAGTTAATTTTACTCATATTTACCCCTTGGTGCAGAGAACGTGATTTCTGGTTTATTCATATCAAGAAGGGAATATTAAACACCAGTGCAAAGGAGTGAAAACCCATTGTCAAAGGGCACTTGGGTCAAACATTGGCTCTGTTTCCCACAGCTTCCCACATGCCAGGTCAGGGGTGGAGCCAGCTCTCCATCCCAGGGGCAGGCGAGCCTCCCCCTAATGGTCTGCCTGGGTAACCTGATACTGTGAAGCACTGCGACCCGGGGGCTTGTCAGGTGAGCTAGTTTTATAGGTAACTGTCATTTGAGAGAGCTGAGGGTGTTTTTTTCTTTGACAGCCTCCATGACAATTCAAAAGGTGAAGGGACTGCTGGCACGTCTTCTCAGAGTTCCTGTGTCAGAACTCCTGCTGTCCTACGAAAGTCCCAAAGTAAGTGGCCCAGCAGAACACAAAGTCCAGCTCAGGTCCCCCTGGTGTGACCCGCTGTTAGGATAGGGTGCCCTGGGACACGAATTGCTTCTAAATGGGGATGAGGGGGACACAGGTATTAGGATAGACCTGTCTTTATCACCGCAACCCTTTGTTCTGTTTTTAGATGCCCGGCAGAGAGATCGGACTAGAAAATGACCAGCAGTCATTACAGTTTTATTCTGTGGAAAGTGGAGACTGTCTATTGGTGCGATGGTAACTGGGAGTCACTGGACGTAAAGGACTTATTGGAACAATTCTGGCAGAAAAAGAGGTTTTACAACTTGCCCTAAGTACAGAAGAGGTGATATTTTTCATTGGAAACAGACCATTTCTAGGCTTGTATATAACAGCAGTAATAAAGGCTTTGCACCTACTAATAAGTCTCTGATTTTATTTCATATTTATAGTTCGTGACTACACATTTCAATAAAATATTTTAAATAGAACCTAGCTAGTCTAATGAAATCTGAACACAGTTACGTTGGTCATAAGACCAGTTTGAATGGAATTCTATTGATATTACTCGTTTAAAAGGTTACCAAAATGATTCGGACAGTCATTTTGGGAAATGTCCAGTAAACTTAGGGAGGCACCTCTTTGTGTAACATGTGTGCTGTGATCTTGCCCCTCTGTTACACTGTTTTTAGAGAACTTTCCTACAGTTGTACCTGAACTGAGCATATTTCTTCTATAGAAGATTTCCAGCTCTGATTGGAATTCGTGTCTATTAGGTAAACATTAGGCAATGACAGAAGGAAAAAAATTCTTTCAGAGTGTCCATTATTTAGCAGGATCCTTCCCTACGTCACTAAAATCCTGAGAGGTATCTGATTTGTAGCCACAGAATTTTAACTTTTTTTTTTTAAATAGTACTAGACTGTGACCTTCAGGATTTATGTTAAATGGCAAAAGAAAAGTGGAATTAACTCACTTAATAAGTGAACTTTAAAACCAAGGTCCATGGGATCCCTGGGTGGCGCAGCGGTTTGGCGCCTGCCTTTGGCCCAGGGCACGATCCTGGAGACCCGGGATCGAATCCCACGTCGGGCTCCCGGTGCATGGAGCCTGCTTCTCCCTCTGCCTGTGTCTCTGCCTCTCTCTCTCTCTCTGTGTGTGTGACTATCATAAATTAAAAATAAAAATAAAAATAATTAAAAAAATAAAACCAAGGTCCAGAACTGGGAATTATATGGGTTTCCTTTCCAGTTGCCTGCTTCATTTGGACATTTCCAGAAACCCCAAACTTTGGTATACGTGACAACACAGCATTCTGGGAGTTGCTTTTGACCTTTTATCCTAATTCTGCCTCACAGAGCTCTTCTGTGATCCAGGATGGATTCACATACTTAGTTACTTAAGATTTCTGAATGAGGCCAATTTTAACCAAAAGTGACAGGTAGTGAATTACAAACTAGAAATGATACATCCGGTTTTAGAAATGTTTTTTGTTTTATAACAATTTGGTGTTTTTCAAATGGTCTTCCAATATAGAAATAAAATTTTTCCTACACTACAGTATCAGTTGATTTTTAACAAGGAAGTTCTGTGCAAACATTTGGAAAGAGGACACTGGCGACAGGTGAAAAGTGCCAACCTAGAGCCAGCCTGAAAGCCCACATCATCTGTTGCCCCCTATGCGCTCTGCTCAAAAGTTACACTCACATCCTCCCTCATGTCCCCACGTCCTCCAGCAAGTAGACTACACTCCTCCTCCTGGGGCTTCGCACTGACAGGGGTCCCCACACAGTTCCTTCAGTTTCCACAGCTGCTGCAGTTCCTGTGGCGAGTACTGTGGGGAGGACAGCATCCCCGTCTCACATGTCTTCTCGCACAGCCACAAGCCGTCCTGGCGAAAAACAAAGAGTAAACTCAGGAGCCATGGAACTGAGCTCGTGGATCCTGGGGAGGCGGGAAGGCTTCCAGACACAGGTGTGTATGGTGGGGAGATGGCAGGTGGTGGAGGGAGGTGCATGGCCAGAAAGCCCAAGAAGCCCCAAGAGAAAGTTTCCTGCGGGCTGGACGAGAGAAGGCTGATGGAGCCTTCCGGTATTCTGGGGGTTGTACCAAGTATCAGCTGATCCTCCTACAACCCTGCGAGGCAGGAATCCTTTCCCATTCACAGATGGGAAGCTGAGTGGGAAGTGCCTTGCCCAAGGAAGCCGATGCCGGTGAACATGAGGGACTAACGTGGGCTCAGCCTGAATCCTGAGTGCCAGCCTACTCCTGGCGATACAGCAGAGGACAGAGCCAGGGAAGCCCGTTTAGTCTGAGGACGTTAAGATGCTGGGTACAATGAGAAGCGTCTTAAAGCATGGCTGAATTGGTGGCAAAGGGGAAGAAACAAGAAAAGGAGCCAGAGTCAGCAGGTGCCCTGAAGGCTCTGCTGGCTTTGAAAAGGCCACACGTGCAGGGATGAGAGACTCACAGAGCCAGGGCCCCTGGGGGACGAGACCTGAGAGAGAGACTGTGTGTGTGTGTAATTGAGAACCTTCATCTCAGCCTTGACCTCTGGGTGGGGTGGAAAGGGGTTGGCCCAGGTGGGTAAACAGCAGGCATCATGTGCATCAGCAATGTAGGATCGGTGGTAATGCTCTTTGGTGCAGGTGGAAACAATATACATCCTCTTCTAAGGATGCATTTTAAATACAGATCTCCGCTCCCAAGGTCATGAGGTCACACTCACACACACACCCACTAGACCCATCAGGAAACGAGCTCCATGAGCCACATCTGCAGATACAGCAGCCACCGCAGACTGACCATGGCTACGGCCATGGCAGCGAGCTCCAGCGTTCAGTGAGTCAAAGCAGGGACTTCGATACAATGTGGGACTGTCACAGCTGACCCGGTAGAGGCAGATTTATTCCCATCCACCCCTGGAGCAGAGGGCCCTGCTCTGGGCCCCAGCAGGCCCCACGCATTCCTTGGCCCCCTGCACCTTCTGTGGCCAAAGCAGAAGCCGCGAGAATCCAAATCAACAGGAAGCTTCCCAGGTTCATGCCTACTCTCTTCTCAGGGCTCCTACTTCCCATTTCTGGTCTCTGCAGATTCATTTCTTTTCCTGGCTCAGCAATCAGTGTATTTTCAAAAACACCTTCCAGTATTTTATCCACTGTTTTATTTGCAACATTCAGAAAGGCTGAAGGGTCCTTGGACCACATGCTCCTGGGAACTTTAGCTAGCTGATTTCTTAAGGTCTTTTTTTTTTTTTTTTTTTTTTTTTAAGTAGACTCTATGCCCAACATGGGGCTCGAACTCATAACCTCCAGATCAGAGTTGCATGCCCTGATGAAACCAGCCGGCAGGTTTCCTTACATTTTAAAGCTACACAGAATTTGTAATTAAACATATAAAAACCTAATTCTTCTCTGTGGGTAGGAAAACTTCCATCCAAAACATTTCTTTTTGGTTTATTTAAAGATTTTATTTATTTATTCATGAGAGACACAGAGGAGAGAGAGACGCAGAGACACAGGCTGAAGGAGAAGCAGGCTGCCTGCAAGGAGCCCGATGCAGAACTCGGTCCTGGGAATCTGGGATCATGCCCTGGGTCAAAGGCAGACACTCAACCACTGAGCCACCCAGGTGTCCCTCTTTTTGGTTTAAACTCAGAAAAGTATGAGAACTGAGGTGAATTATTGTGAATTACATCAAGAGCATCAAGAGCACAGCTCTGATGCCAGACCTTCAGTTCTGCTTCTGCCAAATATCTGACCCAGAAACCTCACTTCCTCAACTCTTCAGACCCCAGGGCTGCCACCTGTCAGGCTGCTTACCTGATACCGCGTAGGTCCAATGGCTGCCATCCAGATGCCCATGCTTACGTCTTCACCCTGTATGCGCCCCGTAAAGTTTAAATATGGAGGTTTAAATGCTGTATCATCTCTAAACACGATGTCACACATTCCCATGATCAATCATCTTTTCACTTCTTCATTTCGTAACTACTCCACCAGGAAATGCCAAGCCTGCATTAACACTTGTGTGCAGAGTAAAAAAGCTAGTGGCCATTAACACCACATCACAGTGAAACGACCTGACACAGCACAGCGACTGGTCAGTCAACCCTTCTTGTGGGCCTTAAACCTCCAGCACTGACCGTACGAACAGTACAGTGGATCCAGCAGCTAGGCAGGTTGTTTACTGACATGATCACCAGAATCAACGAAAACAAAGCACTTGCTTTATGGTCTTCCTTCTTGTGAATGTCAAGCTTTACATTCCTCCGGGGACTACACTTGTAAATTCAGTCTGAAATCATAATAAGTTGGCTCAAAAGAACATTTAGGAATAGAAATTAGAGCCAGGATTTGGAGGATAGGAGTGTGTCCCTGACCTTTGAGAGTGAATCCTATACAGAAAAAATAGCCTGCTTTCCCTCGGTACACTGGCAGAAATCCTGAATTACCTGATAGGTCTTTAGCCTGCCCGCATTGCTGGCGAGCCAGTGGACGATATCCCTGGAGATCACATACCCCGAACCACAGGCAAAGGCTGGGTAGGCAGGACTGGGATACTCCAGCTCCTGCCACTTACCGGTCCGGTCAACTGCCCAATTCAGCCTGAAACTGAGATTAAAAACAGGTTGGCTTCTTCGTGTCTGACAGCTGTCCTACTACCAATCTTAAGCTGGGCCCCCTTATGATCACTAAAAAGAACTAGGCTGTAAAAGCAAGGGAAGAACAATTTCTTTTTAGTCTAAGGAAAGGAATTGTTTATCTAGCGGGTGTGTTACATGAAAGACTCATGTGTCAAATTCCCTCAAAGTCACATTTGTGGAGCTTCTGAAAGCACCAGAACATTGTGTGTACACATGCTCAAAAGGATCATTAATCCATATTGTATTCCTGAAGAAACAGCAAAGTTTCAGAAATGCGTCAGAAACTTATTCTATCATAATGTACAGCAGCTTTTCACATGAGTACCACTTATTTCTGGGTCTTGACCCTAAAAGCCACATCATCTTCCGCTCCTTCATCACCCTAGCCTGATGTTTTCCATTCGACAGATCATCCCTCTAACTACAGATTAATAACATACAGTAACCCAGGAGCCAAGGGGAGAGCTTTCCTATCTCAAGCACATTTTGCTTGTGAAAAACAGCCTATGTGTTTCATTCTAAATGAATCCCATTTGACCAGGTACATGAAGGCCAAAGGGCTAAAAAGGTTGAACTTACTTTCCCCACCAAAAATTAGGCCCATCCAGATTCTTGTGGTCAATCCTATTAAACACAGCTTCCAAGTCTATATAACAGTCGTCATCTGTCTTCAGCAATAAATCAAAGCTGGCTGTTTCCACAGTCCTGTTGGCAAAAGGGAATACGAGAGTCAGTGTGTCCACACCAGGAAATGAAAAGTGAGGCCAAGGCCGTGACGCTGCTCCTATTTTAATGAACCGTCCCTGTATGACCTGCATACTTCTTCAGTTTCTTCTTCCTTCAATGTTGAGAACATTTGCTCAGAATGCTACTGCTACCACCTGCAGTCCTCACTTGATTTTCATCAAGTGGCCTAACACAGAGAAGTACCAAGCTGATTTTAAAAGGTACAAAACAAAAAGGACACCACTAAAAAAAGATTGGGCTTAAGTGGAATATATGACCAAAGGCACGCTTCTCTGACACTGTTCCAGTCAGGCTGCCAAATCTATTAAACATGTGAGCGAACCTTGGAACTTGTGTTAACAGGGGGAGGGGGATGACGACACAATGGGTGTCACACCTGGCTCTTGCACAGAAGACTGTTGTGCCACCAGTAATACTGTACTCAGATATTTTATGGGCTTTCAAACACTGAAAAATATTTCCCCTTAGAAACAATTCCCAGCAATTAAGCTCTCAAAAGTGACCTTTAGGAAGACCCAGGAGAGTGACTTCATTTACCTAGACCTATAAGGGCAAGTCGTTTCCCATTGTCAAGCCCTGTCCATCTCTGATAAAAAAAAAAAAAAAAAAAAAAAGCAAACTCAGAGTCTTGCTAGGAAATCAAATGACAGAAATCTGAATAAAAGAAATCTGGAGAAAGTGTTATCGGGTCAAAGAACAGTGAATTTAACAACAGGTCCACACCAAAGTGCACAGCCCCATGCTTCTAAAGTTTCTAACAGCACAGGTGTACATGATACTTATTTGCTAATCAGGAGGAATCTGTGATAAAGGACGCTGTGGTCACTAAGGAATCACCTGAAGAAGGATGAACACAGCTTTTGTTGCAGAATGGAGGGCAGATGGTAGTGGAGGCCGAGGCTGGGGGGCAGGGGGTGCCAAAGCCTGGGTCTGTTAGCTCGTCACTGGTATTCAGGTGGAGGTGATGGCCTGAGACACAGTAGCAGTGATGACTGAGATCTCAGAGATGTACAAGGAGCACAGGAGATAACCTTCAACTCAAGGTAACAGCTAAACTAAACTAAACTTCCACAACTGGGAATCAACTCCCTATAGAAAGTTCTAGAACTGCACAATCCAGATTTCCCATTTCTTGGACCTCCATTTCCACCCTTCATCTGTTTATATTCTTGCCTTGGCCCCCTTACAACAGGCACCACTCCTAGGGGCCCTGAGCTAAAGAAGGTTCTTATCCTCACTACAGCTGTCCAAACACGACCCTGGTATTCCAGACACGCCCCAACTTCCAACTCTTATTTCTCTCTGCCCTCTACCCACAAGGTGACTTATGTTAACCTGTCCTAGCTATGAAACATTCCCCACCCCTCAGGACCAGGGGACTGTATCCATAAAGTGCTTATAATCTCCCACTCTGTCCAGGGCATCAGAGAAGAGAGAGGGACAGGCTCACTGGGCCCACCAAGAAACAAGCTCACCGATAATATGAGCGTCAGTGAAAGGACACAGATGTAAAAACACTATAGGTTTAGGCTAGACTCTCAAAGGCAGTTCGGTTTTAGTTCTAGGGTCAGGGTGGACAGGGCAAGTAAGCAGACCATGGAGGAACTAATAATGTCAACTACATATATAATAGTATTATTATTGTTGCTGCCAGTGATATTATAAAGGTAGGAATTACAACCCAGATCGAAGAGAAGCAATACTGAAGGGTTGGGGAAGTTACGGGAAACTCCAAGGGCTGTTGGATTTCATCTTACAGAAAAGTTTTGGAATAAGGCCAAGCCGTTCTTAAATGCATGAAGAAGAGGATGGAAACAATGCGGATGTTCAGCTGAACAGAATTCAGATCAGTGACCTGGATTCGAGGGAACCATATGCAGGGCACTTTGGTCGGTGGGTATGATCACAACTGAAAATGGACCATTTTCAAACTCATTGATTTTCATCTGGCGTTGGTCTGAGGCAACCAAGACACTGACTCATAGGACTGATGCTGTCTCAGAACAGAACGACTCAAAATGAAATCAAAATGAAATCAACTTTTGCCCTGTTTTTGATCAAGATCATTTGCATCATGGATCCGCTCATCTGAATGAGAAAGTAGCAGAATTTTAAAAGGTCAGTCCTCACAAAGAACCAGGATACCAGAGATCACATCCCAAGTGGTCAGGGCTCCTGGGGTGGGTTAAAAAAAAAAAAAAAAGCAGTGGTCTAATGTCGATAAATTGTTTCCACATCTAAAGAACAGTAAGACAAATGCTACCTACCCAGCATTCTTACCACCTACCATCTATAGAAGTTCAGTAATTTCGCAGGAACATTTCGGTAAGTGTCGACGACATCCACAAAAACAATGTCGTCATACAAACGGCTTTCCTCCCGCAGTAAGGCGTCTTCCCTGTGGAGATTACTCATATGGTCAAGAAGTCTTCGAGGGCGAGAATGAAGGTTTTGTAAGAGTGCATCACCTTCTACAAAGGAAAAGTTGAGATGGAGAAAACTGCTGTTGCAAATGCTTAAGACCCGGCATGTGGAACGTTCTGCACTCTCACCCTCTCCCCAAGGGTCCTAAGGGAAAGCAGCTATGAGGCCCCCCCGGGGGGCTGAGAGGACCCATGGTCCCCTCCCCAGATGCCATATAATATCTGCTCACAAGGACACTCCCTAAAGCACCGTTTGTAATGGAAGAAATGGAAGCAATCTTATTTCCATCCCTGACAGGAGAATGGCCAGACCATGGAGCAGTCACATAATGAATAGAGCAGATTTAAAAAAAAAAAACAAAACAAAACACCTTATCTTGCATGTTCAGAGGAACAGCACCGAAAAATAATGCCAAGGAAAAAGTATCTTTATTGCTGATATATACACTATGATGCTGTAGACCTCAATTACAAAATACATCGAAACTGTATGTTATTGAGATAGTACATGTGTAGTGGAAAGCAGGAAAATAAGAACGGGAAGGGTGCACACAAATTTCAGGACAGTAGGACCCTCTCCGAGGGGAGGGAGGAATAGCTGGAATTCACCTGTTTCTGTCATTTTTTTTTTTTTAAAGGAAGCAGATGTGATAAAATGTAAGTGCAGATGTGACAATATGTCATTCTGAGTAATAAGGACATGGCTATTTCTTACAGCACTATTTTTGGTGTGTTTGTGATACTTCACAATAAAAATACACGTACAAGACATGTTTACTACCTCACACATTAATGAATCACTGGTCACATTTATGCAGGGACTGTCTTCAGATCCTATTGATTTAAGGCAGCAATTTTTTCACCAGGGCAGGATTTTCTCAAATGTCTCACTTCAAATTAGAGAAAACTTCTGAAAAATAAATTGAGTGGCTGAGGGGTGAGGAAACAACAGAGTCGTTTGGCGCTCCACTTTCTGGAACCACAAAGGGAAAGCTGGGGGAGGGGGGTGCAGCATGGGCAGCTGAAGGCTGAGATTGGACTTCTCTCTCTGCTGCTCTGTGAGCACTGCACAAGCTGCACATTTCCAGGCCTGTCCTCTCATTGGGAGGAGGAGGTGGACTGCATCAGTGGCTTTGGGGACTGCTTACTGACAAAGTCCTGCACCCCAAATCTAAATGTTCAGCAGGTCTGGGATGTGGCCCAAGGCTGTATTTAACATGTGTCTTCCTACAAGTCTGACACCAGTGGACCACAGACTATTGCCCTTCGAGAAACCCAGGCCTTAATGACCTTGTGTCCCAGCTCTTATATTCTACTGTAATATCCTTTTACTTTAAAGACAGAGATAAGTATATACAATTTAACACTTGAAGGAAAGTAAAAGTTAGAAAATTGGAGTAACAGGAGAATAGCTGTAGTAAGATGAGAGCAGAAGGACACTTGGGTGGCTCATGGCTCAGTCAGTTAAGTACCTGCCTTCGGCTCAGATCATGATCCCGGGGTCCTGCAATTGAGCCCCACATGGGACTCCCTGTTCACTGGGGAGTCTGCTCCTCCCTCTCCCTGGATCCCTCTCCTAGAGCCTATGTTTAAATATTCACATTATGAGGAGAAAGCAGGAGGAGAAGCTGAGTCCATGGCACCGTCTCCAACAGAAGCACAGACATGCCTGATTGTGGGGTCAGGGAAGCAAAAGTTCTTCCCTCCTGACTGATGAGCAGCACTAAGCCCATTACAGCCATCTGGCCATGGTCCAGTGGTTCCGTAGAAGTCCCTACCTGGCTGGAGGATAAACCAAAGATAGCCACCCAGGCTCAATGAAGTCCAAGGTCACTGATTTGTCAAGATCACCCTTATGGTGAAAGACTGGATGCTCTCTCTCTCTAAGAGTGGGAACAAGACAAAGGCGTCTGCCTGGCCACTTCTACTCAACAGTGTAGTAGACATTCAAGCCATGGCAGACAAGAAAAAGCAATTAAAGGCATCCAGATTGGAGGGAAAAAAGTGCAACCACCTCCATTTGCAGATGACATGATCTTATACATGGAAAACCCTAAGGTACACACAAAACTAGTAACTTAATAAATGAATTCAGCAAAATTACAGTATATAAGATTGATATATAAAAATCAATTGTATTTCTATATATTAGCAATGAACAACCTAGAAATGAAGTGTAGAAAACAATTCCACTTATGATAACATCAAAAAGCAGAAATACCAAAGAATAAATTTAGCAAAAGAAATGTAAGACTTATACTCTGAAAATCACAAAACATCACTAAAAGAAACTAGTAAGACCTAAGTTAATGGAAGGACATCCACATTCATGGATCAGAGACTTAATGTCTGAACAGCAACGCTCCCTGATGATCTATGTGTTCAATGCAACCCCTTTCAAAATCCCAGCTGGATCACTCGCAGAAACTGAAAAGCTAATCCTAAAATTCATTTGGAAATGCAGGGGACCCAGAATAGCCAAAACAATCTTGAAAGAGAACAGAGTTGAAGGATTCATACTTCCTGATGTCAGATCCTACGACAAAGTCACATAATCAAGAACAGCGTAGTGTTGGGAGATCAAAAGAACAAAACTGATCAAAAGAACAAAACCGAGAACTCAGGGGCGCCTGGGTGGCTCAGTCGGTTAAGCATCCGACTCTTGGTTTCAGCTCAGGTCCTGATCTCAGGGTCTTGAGATTGAGCCACACTTTGGGCTCCACACTCAGCAGGGAGTCTGCTTGAGATTCTCTCCCTCTGCTCCTTGGGCTTGTGCACTCGATCTCTCAAATAAATAAATCTTAAAAAAAAAAAAAAAAAGAAAAGAAAAGAACTGTGAGCCCAGAAATAAATCCTTACATTTAAGGTCGGAAAATACAGTGAGAAGATTAATGGTTGGTAGGGGATTGGGGAGGGGAGAATGAAGAGTGCTTGCCACTGGGCAAAGGGTTTCTTTTTGAAGTGATGGAAATGCTCTGGAATCAGTAGAGATGCTTTCATATATTGCAAACCGGTAACTTAATCACTTTAAAAGGGTTAAATGTATGTGAATTAAATATCAATAATGTTTTTCTTTAATGACAAAAAAAATCACCTTTTATGTCAAAGTATAGAGTTAGATTAGGTGCATGAGATTCAGGGCACTCTTTCAAGCAGCCGACTTACCTTGAATGGTGTAAATAAAACCACCTGCAACTCCCTCCACACCTTCCATGAATTCATGAGGCAAGGCACCCTCCCCAGCCTGAAAGCAACAAGAACAGAAGTGCTCAATGTTTCATTACTAAAAATACATTTCTTCTATTTTAAAACTGATTTGGCAAAATTCATAATGTGACTCTACAGCAGATAAATCCATCTGAGACTTACACAATCAGGATGACATCAGTATTCTCCTATTTTTATCTGATTACAATATTAAAGATGAGGTATACATGGCAGTCCACAGTGTTCAGAATTCCAACTTACACAGAATCATATATTCTTAAACTTGCTACCATAATAGTACAAAAACCAACTATTTTATACCATAATCCTACCACTTAAAATTACCACCTTTGATCTCTTGGAGAGTAAAAACTGCCACTCTCAAATACACCTAGGCACATTTTTAAAGTTTGCTCTACTGCACACAGAATAGCCCTTTGAAATAAACCATACTGTACAGAGCAGTGTTTTAGGGCTGTCGAGAGACACGGTTCTGATGTGATTGTGGGAATTTGTCATTTAGTTGAAAATACGGTTTTCAATATGGAGGAAACTACCAAAGCTTTGCTGAGCCAGGAAAGGTGGTACACTGTATTTTTTCATCATGGACTCTACACTGTTTTGGCATGTTTAGAATTTGATGGTACTTTTTATTAACTTCTTTCTAAAAGGTCACCGTTTGGCTTTTAAGTTTCTGACATTATCGCTTGCTGGCAAGCCAGCAAGACTCAGGGAAACTTTCAGCTTTATGCATTTATGATGGAAACCTTTATTTGTACGTGGGGTTTCCTAGAAGAGGCTACCAAGTCACCAGACTTCAAGGTTAGCTGAGTGTGTAAGCTATGTTTAGCCCTCTACAACCATATTTATCCCAAGTAGATCATTTGAGTTTTTCCATTTGAACCTAGTCTTCAACTCAGAAGTCATCTGGTTTCCTTTTGTGCAACCAACTTAATAACTAAAGGATTCTGGCACATTTTGGATATTTTTAAGTTTCATAAATAGAAAAGGAGGTGACGTTAAAGGCACTTGCCTTGGAAATAAGAAAAGAATAAAACTATAATTAAATATCCTAAGACATTTGATTGTAAATAAAGGACTGTTCGTAATAAAGGTTGAGATCCTAACCACAACCCACAAGGCTAAGTCTGTAATTATATATGAATCTGTGATCTAATGTCTTTCTTTCTCACTGGAGTGTGATTCCACTGTGGGCCAGGAGTGGTTTTCGAAACAAGTAACAGCAGACCACCTAACGTTCATTTCAAATTCAAGAATTAATTCACATGAAGATTAATAGTTAATAAAAATAGACTAAGCTGGGAAGCCTGAGTGGCTCAGCAGTTGAGCACTTGCCTGCCTGCCTGCCTGCCTTTGGCTCAGGGCATGATCCCAGAGTCCTGAGATCGAGTCCCACGTCGGGCTCCCTGTCCCTCTCATGAATAAATAAAATCTTAAAAAAAAATAGACTAAGCTTTTGATCTGAGATGCCAAGAACTTTCTGAATGATCACACCAGAGCATCAAGGAGGACGAGACTGTGTTTGTGACACCACCACAAATGCCACTTGTTTAAGGCTCATCATTTTAAGTCTGCCTTATCATCCCCATATTTACTTGGAGATATTTACTCATCAAACTGTTTTAAATTTGAAGCAAATATGAATAAATGAAAAATAAGAGGTAGAAATCTCTGCAATAGAGATGCCTGGAGGGCTCAGCAGTTGAATGTCTGCCTTCGGCTCAGGGTGTGATCTGGAGTCCTGAGATTGAGTCCCACATTGGGATCCCTGCACGGAGCCTACTTCTCCCCCTGCCTGTGTCTCTGCCTCTTTCTCTCTGTCTCTCATTAACAAATATATAAATAAAATCTTAAAAAGAAAAACAAAACTCAGCAATATAAATGAAAGTAAAAACTCCATCTTATTTTCAAGTACTGTGGTCTATGCTATTTTAACAAATATCCTGCTTTAAGGATGAGTAAATATTTTGAAAACTATTGAGCAAGTGTCCTTCAAGAATGTTAGCTTAAGGGATCCCTGGGTGGTGCAGCGGTTTAGCGCCTGCCTTTGGCCCAGGCCTCAATCCTGGAGACCCGGGATTGAATCCCACGTTGGGCTCCCGGTGTATGGAGCCTGCTTCTCCCTCTGCCTATGTCTCTGCCTCTCTCTCCCTCTCTCTCTCTCTGTGTGACTATCATAAATAAATAAAATTTAAAAAAAAACTTAAAAAAAATGTTAGGTTAAAAATTGAGAAATAAAACATCACACTTTTTAAAATGCACCAATCTTTTTTTTTTTTTTAAGATTTTATTTATTCATGAGAGAGAGAGAGAGGCAGAGACACAGGCAGAGGGAGAAGTAGGCTCCATGCAGAGAACCCGACGTGGGACTCAACCCTGGGTCTCCCGGATCATGCCCTGGGCTGAAGGCAGCGCTAAACTGCTGAGCCACCCAGGCTGCCCTAAAATGCACCAATCTTAAGGCAAAACTGTGTGTTTATTAACGCTAGAGTGAGAAAATCATAGAACATTTGAGTTCTTTGTCTTTACTATGATGATTCAATATTTTCTGCTGTACTTGCTCTCAAATACCCAAGATCCATTGCTCCACATTCCCTGGGGTGATGTAAAAGTAAAGTTAAAAACACTTTTTATATATTAAAAAATGCTGAAGTATGCTCAACAGCCTTAGGAAGAGAGGATGACTTACTGTAATGACTCGGAGAACTCCCCCACCATCATTTACAGTCACTTTGTGGAGATTTCTTGACACAAGGCCTTGGAGGTCTTGGCTCTCCCACACAATGGTACCTTCGAAGCTCTTTTTGTGGAAAGATGAAGTGAGTTGAATTCTTTATTGTTGTCATTTAGGTTTTAAGTTTTTAAAGAAAAATTAATTTTTTTTCTAAGACCTATTGGTTAAAAATTTTATCCCCCACTCTAACACACAACACTGTTAAATGTTGGTGTATATTCATGAGTCTTTTTTTTTCCATGCACATCTTAAAGATATAAGTACAAAGTGCAGAGTGCACTTTGTGCACACTGCTGCTTGCATTTTCCACTACACCTGACGCCACCACAGCTGGTACAACCATTCTTTACCATGCACACCTAACTCACATGCCCTCGAGTACATGCATTCTGAGTCCCACAAACAGTTCCCCACCCGCAGACACTGAGACTCTACAAATATCTAAGGAAGCTGTGTTTTGGTGTAAATGTTTATTTTTCCCTAATAACTTGTTTTGTTTCAAAATACATTCAGAGGTGAAATTATGGGGAAAAGAAAGAAATAGAGATATTTTATACAGATTTTGGGACACAATGCCAAACTGTCTTTTCAAAAGTTAATTATACTAATTTCCCAATTCAAAAAATACTACCTCCAAGTAGTATTCTTCCAAGTATGGGATATTGATGAAAGCAAATAAGTTTCAATTTAGTACATTAAAAAATGATTCCTAATTTAATTGCGTTTCTTTTGATTTCTAATGTTTATAAATTATATAGTCTCTCCTGGGAATTACAGACCCATGCTTCTTCACCATTTAGCTACTGAGTTTTCTAATTTTATTAGTCTTGTTATCTTGTAATAAATAATCCTGTGTGTATATTATATGCTAAAATGCTTTTTTCAGAATTGTTTGCCACTTAACTTTTTTTTTTTTTTAAATTAAAAGGTCCGTAAGTTCTATCTTGTCAAATTTGGCAAGCTTTTCGTTTGTGATTATTACTATTAAATTTTGAACTTAGAAAGTTATATTCCTCTGCCCCAAGGTTTGATAGACACTTAAATTCTAGTGTCTTCTAATTTCTCCGTGGGTGCTCAGCTGCTCCTCTGCACCGCTCAGGCCATACCCAACTGTCAGCTCCTCTGGCTTGCTCCAGGGATCCAACAGAAGGCAGCCAGCTCCCAATTCTTCTCTACCACATCAGTTTGTCTTCTTTTCCTAATAAGACTTATCACTCTGATATTTCCTGTTTATGTTCCTATTGTCCAACGAACTGTTCCCACTAGAATGCAAGCACCATGAGAGCAGGGATCTTGTCGGTCTTATTAACTACTATATCCCTGGCACCTAGAATGGCCTGACATACAGAACAGGCACTCGAAAAATAGTTACTTAATAAATAATGTTAAACTCAAAATGAATTGGAATGAATTTTGGTCTAGAGCATGAGACAAAAGATACAATTTTAATATTCTTTAAATTTTTTCATATATTAAAATTAAGAGATAAAGTGTTTTACAGTAATGTCTCAGCCAGCATTATAAGAATACCACATAAAACTGAATTTGTCCAATAAGCTAGGCCAGTGGTTTGAAAGCTTTTTGTAAAGTATTACAACTCATCTACAAAACAGATAAAAACACTAAGAGTTGGGATTCCTCAGGCAGTCTGTCACTTTATATTCAGCTACCAGATTCTTCATTTATGTTGCTGGTAAGGCTCCTATGCACCTTGAGAAGCCCCAGGGTTCCTGAGAGCAGGCATCACAGACACGCTGCGGGTGGTCACTGCCTGACCTCCACCATGGGGAAAATGATGCCCACCTCCCAGGGCTGTGCTGAGGGTTAACGGGTTAACGATGACTTAAGTGCAGGGTCTCTGCTTAGCAAAGCAGAGCTTTATGATCATTGGCTGGAATGCAGAAAGCAGAGTCCCCTTTAAAAGATCTCTCTTGGTAACAGGAGTGGATTATTTCTATTTTCTCCCTGGGAGGCCTTAACTCACTATTCAACTTGACCTTGAATCTCAATTCCCTAAAAACAGTGTTCTTAGAGGTATATGCACAGAAGAAAAAAAAACAAGTCTAGGGAGAAATATACCATATATGCTGGGAAACAGATGGATATCATCATATTCCTCTAAACTTTCTATACTTTGTCAAGTTCTCAACAGTGAATATGTATTCCTCTCATACATTTTTCATCTTTTATGATTGGGAAAAAAAATGTTAAACTAAACATATGTGTACAACAAAATAAATTTGGAGTCCATATTCTTCTAGATGCAAGCCATTATTTAAACTTTTAAATGTCTACAACGTAGCAAGCTGTGGGCGACTCAAAGATTTAGAAGAGTGAAATGAAATAGCTCCTATCTTCAAATCCTCGTAATATGCCCTGAAAGGGTCTGCAACAAAGGAAAGTCATTCGGCCTGAGGAGGTCAGCCAGGATTTCAAATGACTGTAACAACGGAGCAGAATCTTAAAGGCATTGGAATCAGGAAAGGGAGAGGCAGATGAAAGAAGTCACCAAAAGGCAGACCCTAAGAGCACTGCATGTTCAGAAAAGTGTGAAGCATTTAGTACTACCCAAGTCCCAGTCTGATGAAAGGAGATGTAAAAAAGAGTAGCCCCAATCTGCACTGCCTGTCGCATAGAGTCTGTCCTTCATCTTGAAGGCAGGGGGAAAGCATTTAAGTTTACAAGCACAAGGGTGACACAATCCTAACTGCAATTTTAGAAAGTCCACTCCAGGGGCACCTGAGTGGTTCAGTTGGTTAGGTGTCTGCCTGAGGCTCAGGTCATGATCCCAGAGGTTCCCCTACGCCCGCCCCCCACGCTGTCGGGGCTCCCTGCTCAGCGGGGACCTGCTTCTCCCTCTCCCTCTCCCCTTCCCGTTGCTTCTGCTCTTTCAAATAAATAAAATCAAATCTTTTTTTTTTTTTTTTTTTTAAAAGGTCACTCCAGTAGTAGAACAGCATCAGGGTAGGCTGGTGGGGGAATGGTAAGTGCACTTTTATAGAAGTCTAAGTGAGAAGAGGTAAGCACTTATTTAGAAATTAAAATCGCCTTCTGAGAAACTGAAGGAGACACCAATATATGGAAAGATATTCAAGCTCATAGATTGGAAGTATTAATATTATTAAAATGTCCATACTACCCAAAGCAGTCTATAAATTCAATGCAATCTCTATCAAATTCCAATGATGTTTTCACAGAAATACAATAAGGACTACTAAAATCTGGATGAGGGATCCCTGGGTGGTGCAGCGGTTTGGCGCCTGCCTTTGGCCCAGGGCGCAATCCTGGAGACCCGGGATCGAATCCCACGTCGGGCTCCCGGTGCATGGAGCCTGCTTCTCCCTCTGCCTGTGTCTCTGCCTCTCTCTCTCTCTCTCTCTCTCTCTCTCTCTCTCTGTGACTATCATAAGTAAATAAAAAATTAAAAAAAAATTAAAATCTGGATGAAACCACAAAAGACAGCAAATAGCCTAAGCAATCTTAAGCACAAAAAAACTAGAAGCGTTGTACCTCCTGATTTCAAACTATGTTACAAAACTAATAGGATCAAAAACAGTATGATACTGGCATAAAAACTGACATGTAGATCAATGAACAGAAGAGAGAGCCCAGAAATAAACCCACACATATACGGTCAACTAATTTACAACAGAGGAAGCAAGCATATGCACTCGGGAAAAAACAGTTTTTTCAATAAATGGTGTTGGACAAACTGGACAGCCACATGCAAGGAATAAACCTGGGCCACTACCCTAAACCACACACAAAAATCAACTCAACATAGATCAAAGACCTGAACATAAGACCTGACACCACAGAACTCCTAGCATAAAACCTAAGCAGAAAGCTCCCTGACACTGGTCTTGGCGATGATTTTTTGAATTCAACACCAAATGCAAAGGCAACAAATGCAAAAATAAACAACTGGGACTTCCTCACACCAAAAAACTGCTGCACAGCAAAGGAAACCATCAACACAACAAAAAGGAAGCCTAAGAATGGGAGAAGATATTTGCATATCGGGTACTTGACAAGGAGCTACTATCAAAAAGATATAAAGAACTCCCACAACTCAACAGCAAAAGCCCAACCAATCAATTAAAAGATGGGGAAAGGATCCGAATAGTTCCGAAAGAACACATACAGATGGCCAACAGGTACATGAAAAGATGCTCAACATCGCTCATCATCAAGGAAATGCAAATCAAAACTACTATGAGATATCATCTCACACCTGTCAGAGTGGTGACCACTATCAGAAGGATAAGAAATAACAAGTGTGCTGGAGAGAATGTACTGAAAAGAGGATCCCTGCAGCCACCGTGGAAAATAGGACGGAGGGTCCTCAAAAAAATTTTTAAAAAATTTAAAAAATTAAAAACAGAACAACTCTATCCAGTAATTCCACTTCTGGGTATTTATCTGAAGGAAATGGAAACACTCACTTGAAAAGACATCTGAGCCCCACGTTCACTGCAGGACATTTACAACAGCCACAATATGGACACAACCTGAATGCCCATAGACAGATGAAGGAATAAAGAAAATGTGACACAAACATAGAAACACACACACACATACACAGAGGAATATTATTCAGCCATAAAAAGAAAGGAAATCTTGCCATTTCCAACATGGAGCTCAAGGGCATTATGCTAAGTGAGGACAGTCCAACAGAGAAAGACAAATACCACTTGATTTCACTTATATGTGGAATCTAAAAGTTTTTCAAAAAGCAAAAAACTAAACAATGAACTCTGATACAGAGAACAGATAGGTGATTGCCAGAGGCGGGGGCTGGGTGAAATGGGTGAAGGGGGTGAAAAGGTACAAATTTCCAGTTGTAAAATAGTAAGTCCTGGGGAAACAGCATGGTGACTACAGTTAATAATACTGTATTGTATATTTGAAAGTTGCTAAGAGAGCAGATCTTAAAAGTTCTCATCACAAGAAAAGAAATGTAACTGTGCGGTGATGGATGTTAACCAGACTTAGTGTGATCATTTTGCAATATTGAATCATTATGTTGTATACCTGAAACTAATATATGTCAATTATATCTCAAT